TAATTAAGTTTTCATAACGTCACGTTTTTCATTCGAATTGTGGCATCGGCATTTTAATTATTTTATTATTATAATTATTATTATTATTAAAAATTGTTTTCATTTCGTTTGTTGTCTTCTCTGCGAATGTGTTTGTACGAATAATCGTGTGATGGGTGTTTTTTTTTTTTCATAAAAGGAGTATTATATGTAAAACAGGTGTTAACCAAGTACTTTTGTTTTTGTGTGCGAATCGTCGTGTCTTTGTGAAAATCCTTCCTAAGGTGAGGTTGGCTTTGTGACGACATAAAAGGAAACTATAAAAAATTCAGTCTTTGGTTGTTGTTGTTTGTTGTTTGTTGGTGTTTGTTGGCGTTTGCTGGTGTTAGTTTAAAAAAAAAAAATAATAACGCCCCCGTGTGCGAGTGAGTTGCGTTTTTTTTTTTTTTTTTTTTTAATTTTAAAATAAGCTTATTTTGCCGGAAGTAAAAGAAAATCGGTTTTCTTTTAAAAATTTTCTCAAAAGAAAATTCTAAATTTTCCTTTTTTTTTTTTTTTTTTTTAGAGGAGTCAGGTTTTCGTGTTGAAAATAAATAAATAAAATAAAAAATAAAAACTCGAATATTTTTCGTGTGTAAAAAAAAAAAAAAAAAAATTACTTAGAATTTTTTTCTTCTGCTTTTAACAGCTTGATTTCTTATTTTCTCCGCTTATTTTTATTTTTTTTTCCCAGAGATTTCCTTGTGTTTCCTTTTCCTGTTTCTATCCTTCTCTTTCTCTCTCTCTCTCTCTCTCTTTGCTTTTTATTTTAAAAATGCGAAGAAAAGGTTTAAGGTTTTAACATTGGATTTTTAATCCCCCCCTTTTTTTTTTTTTTAAATCAAAAGAAGATTTTCATCGTAATTAAATTTATCAAAAAAAAAAAAAAAAAAAAAGAATCGAAACAGGAGAAATTTTCCTTCTTTTCTTTTTTTAATTAATGAAAGTTTTTAAATTTCTAAATTTTGTTTCTAGAAAAAAAAAGAAAGAAAAGTTCAAAGTCGTCGTTGATGTTAATTTATTAAAGCTTTTTCGTTGTCTTCGTTTCGAAACTTGTAGTTTTTTTTTTTTTTTCGACTTACGATTAAAATAACAATTTATTTAATTTTCATCCTTGATGAATTTTCCTCTCTCAACTTTTCATTATTTCAATGCCGTTTCTCTTAATGTAATTCATTATATTATTATCATTATTATTATATATGTAAAGGCGTAGGGCAATTCATTTGAAAATTATAAGTCTTATGAAAAACCGTTGGCTTATGAAAAAAACGATCCTTGAATTTGAAAATTTTTCTTCTCAAAATCTTTTCTCTTTTTTCACGTTTAAAAATCTTAATTCGCCTCTCCTCCCTTCCTCCCTTTCACTTTCCCTTCCTCTCTTTCCCCCATCCCCCCCTCGAAAAAAAAAATTGTGCAGTTAGAAGAGTAATTTACAAAAAAAAAAGAAAAAAAAATTAATTCTCATGATTCAGGAAGCAATCAGGTGTTTCGGTTTAAATTTAGTCATAATTTTTAAGGTCGTGACCGTCATGATCAAATTTTTTTTTTTTTTCTCAAGATGGCGGAAAAAAATAAATAAATAATTTTTGTTTTTTTTTTCTTCCTTAATTTCGTTAGAAATTTTCCCTAATAAGCTTTTTTATAATTATAATTATTATTATTATTGCCTCTCGTAATTTTCTTCGCCGAATAGAAAACAAAAAAAAAATTTATACATTATTAGGGGAGATTAATATCAATAAAATTATCATCATCATCATCATCATTAGTATTATTATTTATTACCGAATTTAATTACCGAATGACGACGAAGACGAAAAAAAAAAAAAAAAAATTAAAAGAGGAAGGAATAAAAAATGAAGGACTTTTGTTTGTTGTTCATTCGGGGGATAAAACACGATTTCATTAACCGCAAAAAAATAAATTTAAGAAGGCGGTGATGTGTTGTTTGTTTGTTTGTTTGTTGTGTAACAACTCATAGAAAATAATCTCGCCAACGCTAACGAATATGAAAGGCTAATGAAGCCTAAAATTTCGGTATAAGACCTTGATAAAATCAGGTAAAAACAATCATCTCTCGTCCCACGATCGCATGGCATCTCCTCCATTCTGACTTTGGTGAGGAGTCTTTTTTTTTTTTGCGCGACTCCCCAAAAAAAGGGATTATTATTATTATTATTATTTTATTCAATGATTTTGAAGGTTGATTATCAGTGTTTTTTCTTTTTTTTTTTTATATCTGAGGTTTAATTAATTAATTAATTAATTGATACTCGTCGTGAGTGATGATTATTCTAGAAAAAGATGATTTGTCCAGTTTTTGTGCATGTGATAACGAGAAAGTTTTTTTTCCTCCTCCTCCCCCCCCTCTCTCTCTCTCTTTCGTTCCAAATATAGAGAATGGAAAGTTTATGTCCGTGTTTGGAAAAGAAAAAATGAGAAAATGAGAAAAAATGACCGTTATCGAGCGTGTCGCGCATCTTCTTCACGACTTGTTTGTACTTCTTTTCTCTCTCTCTCTCTCTCTCTCTCGTTCAGATTTTATCTTTTTAACGTTCAAACTTTTTATTTTATTTTTTACCGCGCGCATCGTTGGAATTATAATAATAATAATAATAATAATTTTATTTTTTAATTGTTTTATTTTAACGTATTTATTTAATTCAGTGTCGTAAATTTCCTCTCTCTCTCTCTCTGTCTGACAAACCGCGCGACTCACGTAATTTTTGGTATAAAAATGGTTTTTTTTTTTTTTAATTCGTACCTGGACGACCAGGATGAATTTATTTAAGAAGAGAAGAAGTTTGAGTCATAATTTTAGGTTTTTTTTAAATGAAATTTGTAAATATTGGTCTTTTGAAAAGAGAAAGAAACAAACAGGTGTTTTTCTGTCCTTTTCTTTTCTTATCGATATTATCATTTTTTATTTATTAAAAATTGTCCGATTTGAGTTTTAATAATTTATTTTATTTTTCTGGAAGAGAATAAAAAAATTTATTTGTACGTAATAAATAAAAATAAAAGTAAATTTCTCTCTCTCTCTCTCTATCTTTTACAAAGTAGTAATCAACAACAATCTTTCTTTTCTTTTTTTTTTTTTTATCAAGACATGAAAATAAATTTAAAAATGTGCGATCGTATAGAATAAAAGAAGGAAAAGGAAAGAAGGAAAAAAGGAAAATAAATAAAAATCGATTCGATTGTTGTAGAAAAGAGCAAAAAAAAATGGAAGGAAATAAAAGGATAAGAAAAATTATATATATATATCAACGTAAATTTTCGTTTGATAAAAAAGGAAAAAAAAAGGAAAATTGACTTTTTCGCCAGCCTTATAAAAAAAGTATGTCAAAGGATTGAAAGGAAAAAAAATTTTTTTTCTTGTAGAAATTTTGTTTTTTTTTTTTTCTTTGTGAGGAGGGAAGGGAGTGTGGGAGAGGAGGAGGAGGAGGAGGGCGGGGGCTTTTCATTAACCGCAGCAAAATTTTTTAAAAATAATTTATAAATTTTTCCTTTTTATTTATTAAACTCGTTTATCAATTATAATTGGATACGATTTTGCGTTTTGTGTTAAAAAATGCCTGACGATATTTTATAAAAAGAGAGACAGAGAGAAAGAGAGAGACAGAGAGAAAGAGAGAGAAAAACAGAGAGAGACAGAGAGAAGGAGAGAAACAGAGAGAGAGAAAGAGAGAGTGAATGATTTCATCCATTTCGTTTCATCATTATTTGTCGCAAAAAGTTGTTGTTGTTCTCTTGGAATAACGTGGAAATAGAAAAAAAAATTTTTTTTGATTTTTTTAGTTGTTACGTTCGATTACTTATTTATTTACTCTCGAAGGGTAAAAAAAAAAAAAAAAAAAAAAAAAAAACGTGAATCATTTGCTAACTAAGGGAAAGTGTTTGTTTGTATTTTCCACGAAAAGTTGTCGGACGGTTAAAACTTTTCAATCGGTCAACCTTGGGAAATCGGGTTTTCAAGTTTTCAATAAATTCAACGTCACGTCGAGAAGTTTCTAGAAATTGTAAAAGTCATTCTCAAAGATAGATAAATTTTTATTATAAAATAAAGGAGGTGATTCATCGATATTCGTTTATTAATAAAAATAAAGAGAAAAAGTTTTTAAACGTTTTTTGTTTTCGAATATGATTTCCGTTAAAACGAAAAAAAGGAATCGAGATGATAATAATAATAATAAATAATGATATGTATATATTTTGTTGTGATATAAATTTATATCGTATGAACGGAAATTAAATGCTCACAAGTTTGGTGGGAGGAGACGTTATTCCATGACATCCTTTTTTCTCTTTTTCTTCAATTTTATTCATTTTCCCGCCATTTTTTTCCCTCCCCGAATAAATTTCAAAGAAAGTGAAATTTTACTTGAAAAAACGACGGTTGTGTGTGTGTGTGTGTGTGTGGCATCGATGGTATCGAACAATAAAAAAAAATTTTTTTTTTTACTTTTTACTTTTTCTCTCGAATAATATTATCTTTTTTTTTTTTTTTTTTTTTTTTTTTTAGAAAACCATCGTCATATTATTTACATAATTTTCATATCTATATTTTCTTTTTCTCTGTCTCTCTCTTCAACCAGATTATCAAGGAAGTAGTAGTCTGTATTTTATCTTTTTTTTTTTTTTCATTTTCAGTGTTAAAATAAACAGAAAAAAAAAAAGGAGAAAAAGTTGGCAATCGTTTTATTGACGCCTGTGCCTTAAGCCTAGACGGAAGTCATGGCCGAGGGCGAAAAGATAGTGGCGACGACGACGACGACTAATCCATCAAAAGATGATGACAAATTCAGTTAGATAATCGTTTCCTGTGCCTTTTTTCTAAAACGGTTTTTGTTGGTGCCTTAGAGAGTGAATCAATCGGTTATCCGTATTGGATAAATAACTTTTGAGTTAATAAGACGTGTCGAGTGTGCGGTTTCGTTATGCACAAAAGAGGTTGAAAAAAGGGAATGGGAGCCAACATGGGGAAAAATTCATCCCTCCTGGATGCTTTGCCCTCAGGTCAAGGCACGTTACACGTTGTCATGTTGGGCCTTGATTCTGCTGGAAAAACGACTGCTCTATACAGGCTTAAATTCGATCAATATCTCAATACTGTGCCTACGATTGGGTTTAACTGCGAAAAGGTGAGTTTTTTTTTTTTTTTTTGAAAGTTTTTTTTCTTTTTTCCTCTCGCGAAAAAATTAATTTTTGAAAATTTGGAATTGAATTTTTTTTTTTTTTAAATAGGTGAGAGGTACAATCGGTAAAGCCAAAGGAATAAATTTTCTAGTCTGGGACGTCGGGGGTCAAGAAAAACTTCGTCCCCTTTGGAAAAGTTACACGCGTTGCACGGACGGCATCGTTTTCGTGCTCGACAGCGTGGACGTTGAGAGAATGGAAGAAGCCAAAATGGAATTGGTGAGAATGGCGAGGTCACCCGATAATTCCGGTGTTCCGATTCTAGTCCTTGCGAACAAGCAAGATCTTCCCGGAGCCAAAGAACCCAAGGAACTTGAGAAATTGTTGGGACTCCACGAATTGGGATCGAACGGTTTTCAAAACACTATACAAAATTCTAGTTCGAAAGAATCAAATTTAACGGGTAGCACGAAAGATGTTAAAGAGTGCAAAGAACAACAACAACAACAACCGTCGAGTCCGTGTTCGAACGTACCCTCGGTACTTCCGGTACATTTGTGGCACGTTCAACCCGCGTGTGCCATAACGGGAGACGGATTACACGAGGGAATGGAAGCTCTCTACGAAATGATATTGAAACGAAGGAAAATGGCCAAGTTGTGTAAGAAAAAAGTCAGGTAGGATTGTTTTAATTAAGTGGTCACGAAATTGGAGAATCGGAATCGCGAGGAAAATTTTTTTCTAAATTAAACGAGACGAAACACGAGATCCCACATTTCGTGATACCACTTAAATAAAAAAAATTGTGGTCGATTGAAAAGGGAGGCGGGAAAACTTAGAAAAAAAAAAAAAAAAATTGTCGCGATGTTTGATGATGACCTCCGATAATATTTCGATTATTATTTGCGGTTGTGTCGATGTTTATGTGCTGCTGCTGCTACTGCTTCAAAACGAACGTTTATGTCGCAGCTATAAAAGATGCGACAATTTTTTTGTTTTCCTTTTTTTTTCGCCCCTTTTAAAATTTTCAACAGCCTTTTTTCCAGGCGTTTATTCATGTTTATACGTGTGTTAATAAATTATTAATACTAAAAAATTTGTTCTTCGGTGAACGTTCAAAAAAAGAAATTTTTATAAATGTGAAATTTAAATTAAAACGCTCGGGCGCGCGCGCAAAAATTTAAAAAAAGAAAAAGTCGCACTCTCGGAATGAGCATTTACGTTTTGTGTCGTTTCCCCCATTTTTTTTTTTTTTTTTACATGTTTTTATTTCGGATTAAAAAAAATTTGTCGCAAATCTCAAAGCTTTGTCGTTCGTCGCTTGTACAAAAAAAAATTTATATGTCGCACGTTCGTAAAAAAAAAAAAAAAAAAGCAAAAATTCGTTCGAGCGAAGGAAAAATAATAATAATAATAATGTCATTAAAGTTTAATATTAATTAATTAATTTCGTAAAATTTAAACAAAAAAAAAAAAAAAACCAAAGAAGAATTTTATAATAATCGAAAAGGGGGAAATTTGCGTCAACACATTCTGGTGGGGGGAAGGGGCAGGGGAAAACCATTAAAAACATTCTTTTAAAAAAAAAAATTTCTTTTCCTTAATTTTTTTATTTTTTTTAAAAAGTTTGCGCCATTTTTTTTTCTCCCACATGTCTGATTCTGGAATTTTTTTTTTTTTTTTTTTTTGGTGACTATCAATCGATTGAATATTCTCGCGATTAATCGATATTAGTAGAAACGATATTCGATATTAAACGATTACGATGTTTGAATTTTTTTTTCGTCGGTTGTCGTTTTGGCATACGCGTAAAAAAAAAAAAAAAAAAAAAATCCGAAGAGAAATTTTATAAACGACGAGATCGAATGAATCGACTCTCATTAAACGACAGCAAAAATTTTTTTATTTTTATTTTTGCTTTCCATAATTTCATGTTTTTAATTTAGAATTTCGCGTTTCGACCTTGACTACACAAATAGAAAAAAAAAAAAAATTATTTTGTTGACAGCAAATTTTTCGTGACGAAGGTTATAATTTAAAACGTGATACGTAAAAAACAACCATGAAGAAGACGCCAAGAAAAATTAATTTTTTTTTTTTTTTCAAACGTATCGTATGTTCTTCGGTCTGCCGCCATTTTGAAAAAAAAGAAAGAAAATTTTTTTCCCCCCCATTGTACTTTTTTTTTTTTCCATTTCCGGTTCCGTATGTACGACGCCAACTTTAAACTTTTAACCCCTCGAAATAAATTATTTTTCCAGAGGCGAATTTTTGTTTTAAATAACGATGATAATGATAACAATATATAACTAACGATTTCGATGATGATGATCGAATGATAATGATAATAATTTTTTATTTTGCGTGAGAAAAAAATCGATCGATAAGAGAGAAAATTCTCCAGCAGTATGATATTTATTTTTTTTATCAAGCGAATAATTTTTTTTTTTTTATAATTTGCTGCTCGACAAGACTGCTTTTTTTTTTTTTTTTTTTTTTTTTTTTTGTAAATTAAATGTTTGTACAATTAAAAAAAAAATTTTGTTGAAATTTATCGTGTAAATAATTATATAAAAAAAAAAAAAGTGGAAGAAGAAAAAAAAATAAATAAAAACAACAAACCCACCGCTTAAAAATAAATTCGAAAAAAAAAGAAAAAATTGTTAAGATTTTTTTATTATTATTATGATTATTTTATATTATTAATTAATATTAATAAATTCGTATTATGTATGTATATTATGTATGTATATATAAATAAATAAATAAATTATGTACATTAAAAAAAAAAAAAAAATTTTATGTATGAAAATTGGAAATGAATTCTTTATATATAAATAAATAAATAAATAAGCGTCTGAATAATTTATAATAATTTTTTTTTCTTTTATTGAAAAATTGATTTTCCAGAATTTTTTTTATATCCGTGTGACTGTGCTGGAATTTTTGACGTCACGGGATTTAACAACAGGGAGACAACAAGAAAAAAAAAATTTTTTTTGTTTGTCGTTGTCGCGTTTTCGGTTGTTTTGTCGTAAGCTTTTGGGGTAAGTGATTTAAGTTGATAATAATAATGAAAGGTTTTCTTTCGAAGGGGGGAAAAAGGGGGAGAGGGGGCCGTAAATAACCTTTGGAGCTGTTAAAGATGTATTAAAAGAAAATAAAAATGGCGACGGCGTGCGTGTGCGTGCTTGCGTGGGTTAAATTTTTATGCCCTTTTTTGTTACGAAAATGATAAACAAATATGGATAAAATTGAATATTCAAGGATTTGAATCGTTTGTTGTTGTTGTTGTTGTTGTGGGTTAGGATTTGCTGAAGGATGAAAAAAATGGCGGGGGAGAGGGGAGGGGAGGGGATAACGATGATGATTTCGTTTGTTTTTTATTTAATTATGCGTGACAGGTTGTATTCGATATGCTTTGCTCCTTAACACCCGATTTATTTTCTTTCGGATTGGGAAAAATTTTGAGTTTGTGCGACAAAATTAGAAGTAAAAAAAAATTTTTTTTTATTTACGGTTGATTTATAAATCGAGAAATTTGTCGCAAAATTAAAAAAACAATTTTTTTTTATTTGTTTATATTATTAAAGGTTATTATTGAAATAAGATTCGTTGAACTCGAAAACACATAACAAAAAAAAATATTTTTTTTTTGTTTCTATTCAATGTCGAATTTTTTAGTTACAACAACAACAACAACCACAACAACAAAATGGCCCAATGAGAAATTTAAACTTTTAATTAATAAATGAATTTATTGCTTTTTTTTTTTTAAATATAATCTTACGTCGGCCCCCCGATAAAAAAATGAGAAAAAGGTATAAAAAAAAATTTTCCGACAAAATTTTTAGTTTTTCTTCCTTTTTTTTAAATTTTTTTTTCTTTCTTTCCTTCTTTCCTTCCTTCCGGTTTTTATTTAACGAACTTTTTTTTTTTTTATTGTTTCATCCAATGCTTTGTTTTATCCTCTCCTCGTTTGGTTGTTGTTGTTGCGATTTCACACATCGTTTAGAAAAAAAAAAATTATTTTATTATCTCAACCGAATTTCCTGCATCCGTTTTTTTTTTGTTTTGTTTGTTGCGTTTTTTACGTTTGTTAGTTAAGTTTTTTTTTATTTTAAAATTTCATTACAATTATTTAAACTTTTTAGTTTTAAATTTATTGTTTGTGTTTGTTTGTTTGTTTTCTTTCTATTTTTTTTTTTTTTAACTGTTGTTCGTTTATTAAATTTCGTGTTGTTTTTTTTTTTTTGCCTTCCCGCCCTCTCATCTTTTTTTTATAAAATTACAAAACGTTAAGTATTATTATTATTATTATTATTATTATTATTATTATTTAATTATCGTTAGGTGTGTTGTTGTTGTTGTTGGTTATTTTAATTTTCTAGATTGTTCTTCCCACGTACACCACGACGACGATGGTTTGTTCTTCCCTGCCTTAAAAAAAAAATTTTTTTTTTTTTTACATGCACTCTCTCCCTCCCTCCCTCGAAACATATAAATAAATTATTCGATTATTATTATTATTATTATTATTATTATTATTATTATTATTATTATTATTATTATTATTAAAGTTAATAAATTTATGGAAAGGATTATTTACACGCGCACGCGCACACACCCTTAAGAAACAGTTGAAGAAAAATTTTTTTAACAATTTGTTGTGTGCTCCAAAGGAAGAAGAAAACTTTTTATAAAATTAAATTTTTACCTTTTCCCTCCTCCCTCCTCCCCTCCCTCATTTTTTTTTTCTCGAAAGGTATAATAATTTTATCGTCGGTTTCGTTTCCTTTTTTATATATTAAAAAAAAAAAAGAGAGGGAAAGAAGTAGAAGAAAAACGTTTAGAAAAAAAAGTTTTTAAAAGTAATAAATAAATAAAAATTATTCGAGTAGAAAAAATTTTCGTTTGTACGTAATTCGGATAATGGAATTTGATTGGTTGTCATTTTTTTCTTTAATTGTAAAAAAGGAAAAAAAAAATGTACCTGAAAGTAAAACATTGACGATGATGATGATGAATTTAGGCTTGAAATAATAATGATAATTGACCTTTACTTTCTTTTCCGTAAACAAACAAAAATTTCATTTATTATTTTTATTTTATTTTTGACCGTAAATTATTATCATCATCGTCATTATCATCATCATCATAGTCATCACCATTATCATCATCATCATCATCATCATCATCACTATTATCAGTAGCACAGAAAAATCAAGGGAAAAAGGAAAAAAAAGAAAAAATTCCCGTTCGAAAGGTTTTTTTTGAAAGTTCAATGACCTTTTTATTAATTGATGATGATAAAAATAAGAAAAAATTTTTTGTTTCAATTGATCGATTGATCGATCAATCGATCGATGTCGAAATGATCGAATCGATTTATCGTTTCCGATTAAATTTTCCCACCTTGAAAAAAAAATAAAATAAAATAAAAGAAAAAAAAATGTAAAATGTTTCTTCTTAAAGAAAGTGAATAATAATATACAGTTATGCGTTATAATAAAAATAAATAATAATAATGATGATGATGATGATAATAATAATAATTCGTTCGAATAACTGGATAAAATTTTTTCTTTTTTTTTCTCCAGTTAAAACGAGAAAGAAAGTTATTACATTGCAAAAAAAAAAAATTTTTTTTTCTTTTTTTCCCCCATGTCATGTCGTAAAAATAGTCGGAATTTTATTATTATTATTATTATTATTATTGTTTGCCTGTTGCTTTTGCACGCATAAATTTCATCATCATCATCATCATCATCATCGTTACTATTATTATTATTATACCTTTTTGTTATCTGAAATCCTTAATTACATTTTTCATTATTGTATTCAATAACATTGATTAAATGTCAATGACAACGATTATTATTATTATTACTATTTTTTTTCTTTTCGAAATGAGAATTGTAGTAATAATGATGATGATGATAATGTTGGTGATGATAATAATAATAAAATCAACGTAAAATCAGGTCACGTTCACGCAAACCAATGTTGTATTTATTATGGACAAAGAGAGAGAGAAAGAGAGAAAAGGTTCATTCACATAAAACAATTATCATTATTATTGTTATGGAACAATAGACCGTGAAATTAGAGGATGGACAAACCTTATTTTTGGACCCTCACCACCATCACCACCACCACCACCACCACCGCCACCGCCACCGCCAGAGCCACCAGACCCGTCACCAAAGCAACCGCCAAAAAAAAAAAAAAATTCATTTATCCGTTAATAAGGTAATTTTTAAATTTCCCGCCAAATTTGAAATTTTTTTTTGTCGACGTACAAAAAAAAAGACTTGGTCGATCGATATAAATAATTAATAATAAATAAATTCAATATGGCGTCATTTATACTCTTTTTTTTTTTAATCTTTGTATGTGTCAAATTCAAAATGCTATAAAAACGAATTTACTGCCTTTCAATTCGACCCTTTTTTTTTCCTTTTTTTCCTTTTTCGTGTTGTTTTCAAAGTAAAAAAAAAAAATTGAATAAAAAGAAAACGTAGTAAAAATGTTGTAAAAAGAAAAGAAAAAAAGAAAGTTTTTATATTAAAGGTTTATTTATTTATATTTAACAAAAAATATTTTTATTGTTTTCAAAAAAGTCAGACACTCAACTTCCTTTTTATTTACTCTATGACTTTTTTTTTTTTTTAAACTCATGTAACGGATTTTTCCCGTAAGTAATTTGAGTTGGTTTTGTTGCTCGAATAACAACAAAAAAATTATTTATTTGTTATAAAAAAGAATTTTATTAATTAAATAAATATAATATAATTTAATAATATAAAATAAAGGCACGTAAATATAATATTTAAACATAAATTAATAAATATTTTGGTGTTTTCCTTTTTCTCAATAATTGATTAACCGGAAATGACTACTACTACTCGCAAGGTGCTAACCAAATATCCGATGTGCAATCACCACCCGGATACCTAAAAATGACATTTTTTCATTAAATTTTCTTTAAAAAAATTAAGTGTGCGTAATAACAAACCACATCCGTACCTCATTTCGTGAGCTAAAACGGGTCCGTCAGGTTCTTTTCCAAAATCTATTAAAAAATTTTCATCCAATTTCAAACCGCCATTTTCGGTATCGACATCGATTTTAACTAAAGTCGATCCAGCACTAAATAAAATTTTTTTTTCTTTTAGTTTCCCTTTACGATGTAAAAGTTATGAAATGTTTTAAAAAACTTTTACTTACTTTACCATATCTGGATAAAATTGGGAGTCCCATGGAGAAAAAAGTGATGGAGTCACATATAAACGTTTTCCATCGAGGCTTAGTTGAAGCATTTGTGGGGAGCCGACAAGTCGACGTCCTTTAATCGTCACAGGATTCGGTTGACACTAAAAAGTTTTTTTCTACGTTAATTTTTTATTTAAATAATAATAATAATGATAAGTAAATAAATAAATTGAAACCTTCAGTTCTTTATCATCGATGACTTTTACGTGACCATCTTTTAAAATTGAACCGCCTAAAAAAATTTGACCGACTAATTTAGGTTTCGAAGGTTCCGTTATGTCGTATTGACGTACATCACCGTGAAGATAATTGCTAAGGTAGAGATATTTATCATCCAATGATATTAATATATCCGTTATCATACCTGAATTAAAGAGAAGATCGTTAAAAAATTGGGAAAAAAAGGAGGAGGGGAAATTTCTTGTACCGATGACTGCAAAAATTACCTTCCATTTCTGGAAATTTCCATCCTTCAACTTTTTTACATGGAATATCGATTACTTTTTCAGCATCCCACGTACCATCTGATTTTCTAAAAAATCTAAAATAACGACATTAATATAATTTAGCCATTTTTTTTTTTTTTGAAAATTCTCACGACAACATATTAAAAAAAAAGGAAACCTGAAAACGTTTGCATGAAGAGCGCAACCGACAAAACCCTGAGAAGCTTTTGGATCGTGTAAAAACCTGATTTCCAACGGTGCCGTACCTTCTTCTCCGAGATCTATCGTTTGTATTAATTTTCGATTTTTCCACGAGAAAAAATTTAAAGATTTACCATATTCATCTGAAATGATACGTTATCATTGACAAATGAATAGAGATTAAAGTGGGGGGGGAGGAAAAATTCTTTTCTATTCATTCACCCCAATCTGTGACTTTAGTAGGATCGAATCCATTTAGAAAACTTCTCGGTGCTCCCCATTCGCTTGATACCATAACATCCCAATAGGGCTGATACCAAAAATCGTAACCGAATTTCGCTTCTGCTGATTCGTTCGCCCATAATTCTTTTACCTCCATTTTTTCTTGATCTATTAGAATAAAATTACCTCTCGGACCGTTTTTTGCATCGCCCATAATGGACACCATAATGTCACCGTTGGCTAAACAATGAGCCGTATGGGGGGTACCACAATTTAAAGCTCTCATTTTTTCACCTTCTATGCACTGCAACAACGATTAGAAAAATTATTTATTTTATCATTATTATTACAATTTTTTTATTAAATTTAAACAAACCTTTTTTAATTGGGGATCCCTTGGATTAGTTCCAACATCGATAACGTAAATATTATCACTTTTCAAACAAGGAAGTATTAATTTATCTCTTTTTTTATTAGGTTCATCGTGACAGCTACTGCAAGTATTCCAACCTGTATGATGAACTTCATCTCCAACATTTGGAAGGTAACACCTGCTAACAACCTGTGAACTTTGCCTTTTAGTTTACTTTTTAAATTTTTTTTCCTTTTTAAACAAAATGAACAAATACCTGACTGTAGGTTGGACTTTGTGGATCGACGTCAATCGTTGCCAAATAATCTGATTTATTATTATTTTTCCAGTTTGGTTGTATGCAAGGAACGTACAATAATTTTTCTTTAGGACCTTTCATTGCTTCCAAAGGAGATGAATATCCAGGACCTTTCAAAGAACAACCTTTTGAAAAAACATAAAGAAAACTATTATTATTAATTTTATTTGATTAGACAAATTAATAAAAATTTTTAATTAATTTCTTTTTTATTTTTTTACCTTTTCCTTCCATGTTTTAATTTGTGACTCTCATCAATTTGATCCAAATTTTTTAAAAAAATCTTCTTTTCTGATTTGAAAAAGAAAAAAAAAATTAATTAATTAAAAAGATTAATGATAAATTTAAATTAATAATAAAACTTTTAATTTTGAATACTACATATTGCGTCGTAAGAATTAAATTCAAATAAAAAAAAATGTTTAATTAAACGTTATTCGAATCAAAGTTTCAAATTTAAAAAAAAATGAAAAACAAGTTAAAACGTGTAATCAGATTTCATCTTATCAAAGTTATTAAAGGGTAATAATTAATAAAATAATTTTCATTTAATCATCTTGTTCTTATTAATTCTAGAATTATGTTTTCAAAAAAAAAAATTAAAAATTTAAATTTCTTTATATATAAAAAAAAATAAATTAAAATAATCAGTTAAATTAATTAATTATTGATTATCATCATTGATATTTTATTAATATTATTATTCTCAATTCTAATTACACTTTTTTTTTTCAACCTAGAGGTTATCACTAAATTATGACTTTTTTTTTTTGGATATTTTAAGCGTAATTTTAAAAGATAAACTGTTTTGTTTTGTTTTTTTAAATATTAAAACTTATTAAATTATGATAAATAATAATAATACTAATAATAATAATAATAATAAATGACACAAAATACAAATGGATTCTTATTAAATAAAATGATTTTAAAATATTCAAACGAATTTTAATTAAAATTAGATTTGTTTCAACTTACCTTTACACTTTTACACGATTATTAATAACTAATTATTAAAATAAATAAATTATTTTAAAAAAATAAAAAAAAAACTTATTTTATAACCTGTTCAGCTCAATAAAACGCCGTCGATTGATTCTTAGCTGAACAAAATTGATGCCATGTTTAATCCCGTTAACCTTGAAATGCGATTGCGTACTTTTTTCCATAAAATTCATTTACTATTTAAATGAGTGACATGTATATATTATTTAAAGTGGAAAGTTCGATTTTTTTCTCTTTTTTTTTACCTTCCGATAATATTATTATCAATATAAGAAACATTCGAAAGATATTGAATATATGTTTTATAATAATTTCGTATTGAAAAATTAAAATTTTAATAATTACGTTCTCTGTTTTAATTGTTATTACGGTACGTGAAATAACGTAAATTAAAAATTTGTTTTTTTATTTTACCGCCAAAAAAATGAAATTGATTTTATTACTTTTTTTTTCGAGTTTGTCTAAAACCACGACAATATTTTTATCATATGATGTAAATTAATAATTTGTTTTTATCATGAATATATTGCCAAAAAAAAGGTATGAGGGTTTTTTTTTTAATTGTGAAAGGATAAAATAAAGTTTTTCTTAATATTAATAATAAATTATGTTATTAATAGGTGGCATGTTCGTACAAAAGATAATATTGCTAGAGTTAGAAGAGATGAAGCTGCTGCAGCAGAGGAAGAAAGAAAAAAGCAGCAAAGAGTTGAGATAGCAGTAAGTATGTATAAAGGAATAAAGTGTATGTAAAAATAGTGGCTTTACATAGGGTAAAGTTAATTTTTTATTTTTTGAAATTTTGTAGGAGAGAGAAAGAAGAGGTGAAGAATTAAGAAAAAAAGCAAAAGAACAATTTGGAACAGGTTGTTCGATTTCAGAAAAAAAAAGTCCTGAAGTAAAAGAAATAAATTATTTTCCTCCTGATCAACATGTTAATTTATTTTTCGAATTGGATCAAGACAAAGTCATAGATGATAAACCTAATGAAGAACATGAGAAAGAAAAAAAACTTGAAAAAGAAAAATATGAAAAACAAATAGGTTATTTAACTTATCTCGGTCAGGACACTAATGAGCTTACTGGTAATGTTTCCTGGTATAATAAAACAAGAGAAGAAATTAAAAGTGGGCAAACAGAAGTTTCTCAAAAGCAAAAAGTATTCGAAGACCCATTGATGAACATAAGGAAATATTTAGGATGTGCTGGAGTAAAAAAAATTTCTGAAGCTTCTGTTAAAATTGAAAATTTATCAAATAAAATAGATGGTGATAAAAAAACAATTAAGAGGAAAAAATCATTAGAAATAAATAGAAAGCATAAAAAATTAAAAAAATCAAAGAGTAAGAAAAAGAAGAAAAAAAAGAGAAAGAGAAAAAGTAGCACGGAATCGGAAGATTCAAGTTCGGAAGAAATTATTCCTCAAAAACCTTCAATGGATATAGAAAGACTGAGAGCTGAAAGACTTATGAGAGAAAAGGAAGAAAGAAGAAAAGCTAATGAATTGTTTGCTAAATTAAATGGAGTGAAAATTGAAAAAGAAGAGAAACCCATTAACGAACCCAAACAAAAATATAATTCTCAATTCAATCCGCATCTTGCTAAACAGAACTTTACATAATATTTGTGTATAAAAATTATAATTATGATTATTATTTTTAATAATTACTATTTTGTCGCAAAAACGTCAACTAATAAGTTAGCTAATGTAGTCTTTATTTTATTCTTATCTATGACAAAATATATATACATATTCAATAAATTCGATGAAGCAAATTCAATTAAAGTAAAATTTAAAAATCATCAAAGTTAAATTCATTTAAACTTAATTGAGAATCCGTTTTTTTTAATTTCTTTGAATTAAAGCAATGTTACGTAAAGCACTAATAGTATTGATGTTAAATAATACTCCATAAACAACATTTTCTCGTAATCCTTTCTCCTGACACGACAATTTTTTTTCGTCTTTCAATATAAAAAATGCAAGTATTTTTAACTTGCGTTATCGTTTCGTAAATATATTTACTTTTTAAAAAATGTTCTTGAGAAAATTTAAAAAACGGAAAATAAAATGTGATCTAAAAGTTGCAAAAATTAATTATGTTTGTAACAGTTGATAATTTGGAATTTTTTTAAAAATGAATTTATAATTTAAACAGAATATCAAATTTTTTTTTTTTTAAATGGAGGAACAAGCTGTGCAGCTTGAGGCGCATATGCCTATACTGTTTATTAGTAATAATGGACAAGTAACTCTTCATTCGGATTCTAACGGTGAGGGCATTAACTTCAAAGACAATTTTAAAATCTTTTAATAATATATTATAAATAATAATAGCATATTATTTTACTTATTTCGTTAGTAGGTGAAAATGGATATTATTTGGTACCTGAGACTTCTGAATTCTTGGAGGAGGAAAATTATAATGATAAAAATTACAACAAAAATTCAATAATAAGTAATTCATTACATAGGGAAACATTAGTAAATATAAATGTAAAAAATGATGTATTAGAGGATTACATGGAAGTTTGCATTACATACAAATGCAGGGAATGTGCTTACATTTCAAACGATCAAAAAGAATTTCATCAACATTGCTTGAAACATTTACTATTGGAAAATTCTGTTACAAACAATATATCTGAACAAACAGCTTATGTATACATTTGCAGCAATTGTAGTAAACCTTTTAACAGTTCTGAAGAAACTAAAGAACACATGATTCAGGCTCACAATTATCAAAGTGATGTTTTTGGTTGTCATGAAATCCCAGAAACAATTAAAACGATAAATATTTCAATAGAGACTGAACAACAACATTCAAAAGTTAAAAAAGTATTCAATAAAAAGAAGAGAAAAATGAATGAAATCATTCAAAGCATTGATCCTGCAGGAAATATTAATAATTTAAATTATTTTTGTAGAAAAAGAAACTGTAAATATAAATTTACAACTGAAAATGATTTAAGTATACATGAAAAATGTCATTTGGATTCAGAATTAAACAGTGGAAATAAAAGGTTATACCAGTGCTTTGAATGCAATGAACTTTTTAACAGTTGGCACAGTTGTTCTTCTCATTTGTACAAAGTTCATAAAATCGATTGTGATCTTTTAAAATGCCCCATTTGTGAGGTCAGTAAAAAATTATTTTATTATGCAACAAAAAATTAAGGATTAAAAAATTAAGTTGAAAATATACCTTAGTTTATCTTACAATTGTTTAGACGTACAGAACCTCTCTTCCTCTTCGATTAGAAAATCACATTCGAATTCACAGTGACGTCAGAGCTTTCACATGTAAATATTGTGGTAAAACTTTTAAACAGGCATCTCAATTAAGGAATCACATAATTGTCCATGCTGATAAAAATGGAGGGCATAAACCTAATTGGTTAGTTAATGTTGTTTGACGAAAAAGCATTTTACGTTTTCAAAAAACTGATGAAAAGTTTTCTTTGAACTTACAGGAGTAAATCTAAACAGTGCAATATTTGTTTCAAAATGTATTCAGATTCAAAAAGTTTAAAAAAACATAAAGAAGAAGTACACAGCAAGCTCAGGCCTTTTGTTTGCAGCATATGCGGTCATGCATCAGCCAGAAAAGCCATGTTACTCATGCATCAAAGACAACATACTGGCCAAAAACCGTACAAGTGCCAACTATGCATTTTTAGAACAGCAGATCATAATTCTTTAAGAAAACACATGATGAGACACACAGGTACTTACAGAAACCAAATAGTAGTTACTTTGAATTTTTATAACTTGTTTCGATGCACAACATCCACTTAAAAAATTTTCCCTCAATTTAAACTTTCTATAAGGTGTTAGACCATACAAATGCCCACATTGCGACTACACAGCTATTCAAAGTGGCTCGTACAAAAATCACATGAAAATAGTTCATCCCAACATGGAAGGAATATACGTTTGTAACGTTTGTAATTACCGAACGATATCCGAAGATAATTACATACGACACATTTCGGATCATTTGACAGGTTTTTAACTGAATTTTTTTTTTAAAAAAAACTTTTGGTTTATAACCACGATAAACATGATTTTAATTTACGTTTGTAAGGTTTGATAAAAGACAAAGAGAGCGAAGAAAAGGAAAAAGATTGTCAAAAATCTTCTCAATCAATAACTTTTCTCGGTGGTGGTACAATTTTTGTCAATCAAAATAATACGGTCAACGACCAGGAATCAATGGATTCTTCAAATGAATACATCGGGGAAAATGAAGAACATGCAACACTGGAAGACGTGGTGATTAATTAATTATTTTATTGTCGTATTTCAAGCGTTATTATTTTTTTAAGCAAAGTTTTTACTCCGTCAATTTTCGTTTGTTTACAGGTGGATAATGGCGGCATCACAATTCCTGCAGAATTAACAGAGTCAAATTTGAACAACGATGGAACAATTTTATAAAAGTACAAGAAACCATGACTTATAAAATCTTTATCTTTAAATTCCGAATTTGAATTGAAAATTATAAAAATTTTTACTTTTTAATTATTAATTGATTAATTTGAGTAGATAAATATAAAATAATAGATGTAGGCAAAAGTTGAGAATTATTTAAACGATAATGTTAGACATATTAAAAAAAAAGAATAATTTGTGTTAAATTTTTTTCGTGTACATTTTACTTTTAATTATTATTATTATTATTACTTATTTAATTATAAATATTGTAATGTTTGATATAGAAATATAAAAATTAAATTGAAACATTTTAATGTAAAATCGATAAAACTAAATTGTATGATAATTTTCTTTTCTTTTTTTTTTTTTTTTTGTTAAAAAGGACATTATTATAAATGCACATTTTTACCTACCTTATGAGTGTGCCAGAAAATATATAAAACACGATAATTTGTAATATTAATTAAAAAGCCAAAAATTTATTAATAATAATAATAATAATGTTTGCAATAGGAAAAAAGTAGATGAAAAATATATATGATATGTACCCTACATTTTATTAATAATTGTTTTTATTATTTTGTAAAAAAAATAATTTATATTATTTTGTACTTATGAAACAAAAAAAAAAAAATTTTTTTTGAATATATTTAAAAATTCTTTGAAAGAAAAAAAATAATAATAATTTTATTTTATTTGATCCTAATTCATTCATTTTTAAAAAATTTTAATAAATTATATAAAATCAAAAAAAGAACTTTCTAAAATTAGCACCAGGAAAAAAAAAAAAAAAAGAAACCGGAAACTTTTTTTATAGAATGATAGTCGACAATAGGAAATTATATTTTTGTTGAAATTAAATTAACTAAAACGATTTCAACTGTTGTTTTTATTTACCTGATTACAAATAATGGGTTTAGGTCTAGTTTTAAAAAGTATTTTCTTTCTAATAACTGCTTGAACTAAATATGATGTTATTTTTGTTTCCGAATCAATTTGTTTTTGTATAACAGCAAAAGGTTTTTGTAATTTCACTTCTTCCCCATATAAAATGTGATGGCCGACAATAAAAAAAGGAGTTCCCTAATTAAAATAAAAAAAAAATCAATAATCGATAAAGTTTGACATGTCATCAGATTAATAACTAAATATTTTTTCAAATGCATAATAAAATTAAATAAAACGTTTGAAATTTAATTATTATTATTATTAAATGTGAATCCAACTTGATTAAAATATCAAACTAAATTTTTTTTTTTTAAATGAATAAAATAATAAATAATAATAAAATATTTCTCTTACATCTTTATTATAATTTAAATCTCCAATAAATTGATTATATAATGGTTCATCATCTCTTGTTAAAAATGAACCTTGAAATTCTAATAATCCCCATTCTTTTAATTTATCATTATCAGCCCTCAACAAAAAAAAAAAAAAAAATTAATTAAATTTATTTAAAAAATTATTTAACGTAATAATAAATTTTAATTTAAATAAATTAACGAATTTAATTTGCATTTTCGTTAACGTAAATTAAATAAAAAATAAAATAATAATTAAAAATTAAAAAAAACTTACGATTCGATTGTGATTTGCATTTTACACTGCTTAAGTTGACGTGAAAAAAAAAACAACTAAATATGGCGGGAAAAATGTGTCGTGGTTTTAGCAAACTAAATTTCCCTTATTTTAAACATGGCGGAAACTAAAAATTTTCAAATCTTTTCACATTCATTTATTTATTTTAATTAACATAAATTATTTACTTTATTTAAATTAAAACTAATTAATAATTTAAATATAACGTTTTATTTTTATTTTAAATCGAAAAAAATAATATTAATTTCGTTTTAACGTTTAATCATTTGATTAAATGAAATTTTTTTTAAATCGTGTCGTTCACCTCTCATTTTTTTTTTTTTGTTGTAAATATAAAGGATTTTTAAGTATTTATTAAAAAATAAAATGGAATTTGAAAAAAAAAAAACCTCAAATCGAATATCATCAATTGACGATATAATAAATCAAAAACGAAAAAAAAAGAATCAATAAAATGTCAAACAATAAGGGAAAAAAATAAATATTTATTAATTAAAAAGAATTTATGACGTCACACGATTTAAAAAAAAAAACGTGCAACATTTTGTATCAGGAGAAGGAGGAGTAGGAAAAGTAGGAGGATGATTCTTCCAGTTTCAAGACATTCCAAATGTAAATAAATAAATAAATAAACTTGGAGAAAAGAAATTAACCATTCGGTTAATTTGAGGGAATTGATTTAAAATTTTTTTCTTTTTTTTCTTTTTTTTGGTTGGGGGGGAAAAAGAGGCGATTGGGAGAAACTTGAGGATTCGGTAGGGGGAGGGGATAGGGAAGAGGGGGAAGGAGAAGAGAAAAAACAGAGAAGAGGCTAAAAATGCCCACAAAATCTGTTTTTTTCTCCTTAATTTTATTTTGATATTGAGTTAAGTAAGAAGGAAAAAAAATTTCTTTTTGTAACTTATTTCAAAATTTTTTTTCTTTTTTTTTCTCATTGTAAAAAAGTGAATTTTATTATTATTATTATTATTATTTATATTTTAAAATAATTAAAACGATTGTTGGTGAGTATTCGACAATTTTTCTTTGTCCGAAGCAAATTTCATTTTTTTTTTTTTTTTTTACAAAAGAGACAAAAAAACGTAAAAAAATAATTTCCCGTTTGGGAAGGAGGAGGAGGAGGGCGGGGGAGGTAAGGTAAGGAAAATGAATTCACCTTTCGGAAAAAAATAAAATTTATCCTTCCAATAAATTAAAAAAATGATTAATTACACATTTTGTAAAATTTAAATAATTGTTATAATTTACATGTTAGGAAAGCCAAAAAAAATTCAAACAAACCGAAACGACAAACAAACAAAAGACACGTCAAATCGTTTGTTTTAAAAGTTTTTTATAAAAAAAAAAAAAAAAAATTTTTCTAGTATAAACAATTAAATTAATTTATAAAAATTTTTTTTAAAAGTTTTTTGATACAAATGTATCAAAGTTACGGTG